CAAAAGGATGCAAATGCACAACCACACACACACACACACATATGTACAAACAAACACATGTATACACACACACACACACACACACATGCATACACAGAAACACATGCACACAAAAAACACATATACACACGCACAAGCAATAACACACACACACACACACACACGCGGAAGTGAGTGCTAATGACTCATCAGATCAGAACAGCAGAAGGCGGCAGCTCTAGAAAGAGGCTGATAGAGAATTGTCTCTCACAGACAGGAAGTGGAAACAGTATTTCCTGTCAGAGAGACACTAGCTGCGTGTCTGTTCATGTATTATCAGGAGCATTATGGGATATATCATTAACAACACTGGAGGGAAACACACACACACACAGCTAGAACATGCAAGCACAATCGGTGTCTCACCATCTTCCTGATGGCAGCATTGGAGTGATTGGCAGCGGTGGAGATCAGCTCTAGAGCATCTGAAACACACACACACACACACACACACACACACACACACACACACACAATAACATGATTTCTTAAGGGGCTAATATTATTGACCACAGCAGTGTATTTATTCCAGCCAAAGTGAAAGAGATAAGACACTGTGCAGACAAAAAATGTAAAAGGAGATGCTTTGAAAAATGTCCGAGCCCTGCTAAACTGCAGATAAATTTGAGACGAGGGCGAATGATTCTGTCTTTAAGCGTGTGCACAGATCGTACGTGCAGTGTGTTCATGTGCACGCACAAAGTCAAACATCATGTGAAATGAAGCTTTAAATATCTGTCTGCAGCGGATGTGTGTGCAGAGGTGCTGTGTGTGTGTGTGCGTGTGTGTGTGTGTGTCAGATAAAAATAAAGGCTATGCTGCGTCTACAGTGGCCAGAAAGGCTCAGTCTGCTTTTGTACACACTGATGGGCAGACTTTGATAGAAGTGTGTGTGTGTGTGTGTGTGTGCACGTTTATATATGTGTGTTTGTGTGTGTGTGTGTGTGTTCAATCAAAATATATGTGTGTATATCAAGTGTGTGAGTGTGTGTGTGTGTGTGAGCAGTGTGTGAATATTTCCAGCAGTCTCTGATGCTCATCATGAGTAATTGTGTTTGTTCTAATCAGACTTGATGCAGAAACACTGTGATTGACATT